GAACATGCAGCCCATCCTTAGTGGTGAGGTGCCGGCACTTCTGATCGCATATCCAGAGTGTCAGCATGTTTTCCGGAATACATGGATAAGTGGGTGAGTATAATGAGTGCAACCTCTAGGTATTAATACATGAACTTACCATTAGGTAAGAAATGTTGCGACATTAGCAACGAAGGTCATGACAAGATGGGAAGATTTGGATCAAGGTGGGTGATGGATGTTTTGCTAGGTTAGTTAAAATGATGATGGTTCAGCTGAGGAGGTTCACAGATGCTGTTGTGGGTCTGAAACCTGTATTAGTAGTGCTGTGGCTGTGACAGCTGATTAGATCACATATGAATGATCACAACTCCTCCACAGTCCTCCTCCCCCCCTCTCTCTCCCCCTGATCACCAGTTTATCTGCTCAGCAGCCTAGCATTTATAGGATTCCTAACCAGCATCAATCAGCTGTCACAGCCACAGCCACAGCAATACTAACACAGGATTCAGACCCACTACAACATCTGTGAACCTCCGATCCAGTGCTGACTCCTCTGTCCCTGTTGGCACTTCTGATCCCACGGTGTCTGCATGCGGGTGCACGCGTCCATAGACTTACCTTGCGTCTCTGCTCGTCTCCTGGCTGAAGATCTGAACTGCGCATGCGTCCGCCCCAGGATGCTTTGCGGCCGCCTGACCAGTTTCGGATTCTTGGGCGGGAGCGCGCAGCGAAAACAGTTTAAACCGCCGTTAAAGCGTTTTTAAAAAAAATAAACTTTTTGTCTATATCTACTAAATCTAAGAAAAACTTTTTGCCTATATCTACTTTGCTAGCAGTAGATATAGACAAAAAAACGGAGGGTTTAGAAATCCTTTAACAATCTGGCTTCCACTCAATTTCTTAACCTTACCTCTTCTTTTGATCTAACACAATGGTCAGACACTCCTACTCACTCTGATGGTAACATACTAGATCTTGTTCTCTCTCACCTATGCACTCCTTGCAACCTCTCCAACACCCCTTTCCCACTCTCAGACCACAACCTTGTCAGTTTCACCCTCACCCTATCCCCAACCCTGAATCCTCCTACATGGGACACTGTCACCCGGAGAAACCTTCACAACCTCGACCCTTCTCTTCTCTACTCTGCTGCTGACTACCTCTATGACAAAATCTCACCCCTGTCCTGCCCTGACCTAGCTATTTCTGTCTACAACAGCTCACTTTCATCCTCTCTAGACACTTTGGCTCCCCTCACTACACGCAGACCTAGACCACGTCCACTACAACCGTGGCTAACAAATTAAACCAGACATCTGAAGAGACATAGCCGCGCTCTTGAATGACTGTGGTGAAAAACTAGGCTTCTGCAAGACTTCACCCTGTACAAAACTGCCCTCCTAAAATATAATTCCTCCCTCCGTGCTGCCAAACAGACTTATTTTGTCACTCTCAGTAACTCACTCTCATCCAAACCTCGTCAACTCTTTTCTACTTTTAACTCTCTACTATGTCCTCCACCGCCATCACCCATGAACTCACTCACTGCCCATGACATTGCAATTAATAAAAAAAACAAAATAGATACAATTCGGGTTAAGATTGCTACTGTGCAGTCACCTTCCCCTATTCATGTACCAGACCCCCCATCACACTTGTTACTTTCCTCTTTTGACCCTGTCACCACAGAGGAGGTTACAAAGCTTCTCTCTGACACCCGCCTCACCACTTGCCCCCTGGACCCTGTTACCTCACCACTACTTCGGTCACCCTCTTGCTCTATCTCTACACTCACATTTTCAATCTCTCACTCTCTACTGGCATCTTTCCCTCCCCTCTAAAGCATGCCCTGGTCACCCCAATACCAAAAAAACCCTCGATGGACCCTACTGGCCTCAACAATCTCAGACCAATCTCCTTTCTCCCATTCTCCTCCAAATTCCTAGAATGCCTTATCTACAGCCGCCTGAGTCACCACCTCGCTGATAACAGCATTCTTGATCCCTTACAGTCTGGCTTTCGCCCCCTACACTCCACTGAGACCGCCCTTCTCAAACTCACTAATGACTTACTAACAGCTTAACACAATGGCCACTATTCCTTACTCTTGGTATTAGACCTTTTTGCTGCTTTTGACACTGTTGACCACCTGTTCCTTCTCAAAAAACTCCACTCACTTGGTCTACAAGACTCTGCTCTCTCGTGGTTCTCCTCCTACCTATCCAAGCACTTCTTTAGCATCACCTGCAACTCTAACTCCTCCTCTTCCTCTTTCTGTAGGGGTCCCCCAAGGCTCTGTCATTGGACCCCTTCTCTTCTCTATCTACACCTCCTCCCTTGGTTCGTTAATAACCTCACATGGCTTCCAATTCCATCTCTATGCCGATGACACTCAAATATATCTTTCTACTCCACAACTCACCCCCTCTGTGTCCTTACATCTCACTAATTTACTAACTGACATATGCGTCTGGATGTTGCGACACTTCTTAAAACTCAACCTTTCAAGAACTGAGCACTTGATATTTTCCTCCCGCCCGTGCACCTTCCCCCAAATTTTCCCTTGAGATTGTTAACACAACTATCCAACCCTCCCCCCATGCCAAGATCCTAGGTGTCATCCTTGACTCGGACCTTACCTTTCTTCCTCCACATCCAATCACTATCAAAATCCTGCCGCCTTCACCTTCATAACGTCTCCAAAATACGCCCCTTCCTCACCAATGAAACCGCAAAACTACTTATCCACTCACTTGTTATATCTTGTCTTGACTATTGCAACTCCCTCCTCATTGGCCTTCAACTACACAGGCTTTCCCCCCCTTCAGTCTATCATGAATGCAGCTGCTAGACTCATTCACATAACCAACCGCTCAGTGTCTGCATCCCCCCACTGCAGATCCCTACACTGGCTTCCACTCACTCAGAGGGTAAAATTCAAAATATTAACAATCACTTACAAAGCCATCCACAACTCTGCCCCCGGATATATCTCAAACCTTGTCTCAAAGTATCACCCTAACCATCCCCTCCGCTCATCCCAAGACCTCCTGCTTTCCAGCTCCCTTGTCAACTACTCCCATGCTCGCCTCCAGGACTTCTGTAGAGTCTCTCCCATCCTCTGGAACTCTTTACCCCAACCTGTCCGTCTGTCTCCCACCTTGACTGCCTTTAGGCATTCCCTAAAGACTCATCTCTTCAGGGAAGCCTATCCCACCTCAACCTAATCGCTCAACCATCACGTTCTCAAACAAATAATCCCCAAACAGCTACCTCCTCATGTATCACTTGCCCCTCCCTTTTAGATTGTAAGCCCTCATGGGCAGGGCCCTCCCTACCATCTTGTCTTGAATTGTATTGTTATTGTAAGGTCTTCCTTATATTGTAAAGCGCTGCGCAAACTGTTGGCGCTATATACATCCTGTATAATAATACCTAATGGTAAGTTCATGTATTTTTACCTAGAGGTTCCTCTCATTATACTCACCCACTTATCCATTTATTCCTGATAACACACTGACTCTCCGGATATCAGATCAGAAGTGCTGGCACCTCACCACTGATAAACTGGTGAGCAGGGGGGGAGAGGGGGGGGGGGGAATGTGGGGGGTG